GTGTTCAATACTTATTTTACCAGCTGTATGTTGAGACATTTTATTTCTCTTGATTGTCTTCAAGTATTCAWAAACCACATAGAATGTCAATAATGGGCTGTTGTATTTAACTGAAATYGCACATCCAATCATTTGTTTAGAAAACTCATTACACAGATTGCCCATCTGTTCTGCGTTAATTGTTATTTCACACTTYATTATAACTTCCAGTTTTTATTTTAACTGTGAGACTCAAATAGTGATTTAAAGCAGATTTTTGTGCCGTGGTTCTGCCAGTTTGAAGCATCAACACAGACTAGGAGGAACAAACTGTCCGTGTTGCTGCAGACGCTTTTATTTCTACCGTCAGCAGTTAATGAGAAAACTTCTGATGTGTTTTTGATGTTTTCTTTCTCCCTCAGAGACACTGGAGCCAACGCCGCCGACTGCAGCCCAGATCAGATATGGTGAGAGTCGAAATGTGGCGCACAGATCTGCTTGCAGACACACACAAACCTGCATGTCTACATTTTGGAAGAAAGTCAGACTGTAACAGATTTATCAGTGATTCCATAATGTCCMGATTGTATTTGAACTTGTTAATTATAACTGAGGAAAAAAGTCCACCTGACCTGAAGAATGCTTTCTCTTTTATGAACCTGCTATTTCAAGACACACTTAATGTTTTTCATATAAATTATGCATTGACTGAACAGTTACACATTTAGGAAATAAGCATATAATGTATTTTTATATTGAACTTAATGTAAAGGCAGTACTATTGTCTATTCCTGGTTTTATTCTCCCATTTTATAACATAATCAGGTGCCCATTCTTGCAAGTGTACTCATGTGTGTGCATTTCAGAAATGTCTTTTTGAAGATGATTTCCCTTTGAGGGGTAATTTATTTTACAACCATACCATTTATCACTTTTTGTGTGGGTTTTGAYACTTAATGCTTTAGGTTCTCAAATAAGATGACAGAATCAGATCATTTTATTTGGTTTCTGGTAGATGTAGCCTGATAGTCTTAATATTCTAACTGAGCACTTACGTTGTAGAAAATAAGTGTCAGATTGTCTTTAATATCAGTTCTCTTGGTAACTTACTTTCTCCTGTTTCAGTTTTATTCCACAATGCCATTCCCTTTGTTGGATTTGGTTTTCTGGATAACGCCATCATGATAGCAGCAGTAAGTGTGCTCATTAAAACTATTTTGTTAGCTTTTATTAAAAAGATCCCTGTTCTTATGATAACTGAGTCAGGAAGAAACTTTGACCCCAATCTCCTTTTTTTTTTTTATTTCCCCTCCAGGGAACACAGATTGAGCTCTCCATTGGAGTCACTTTGGGGATCTCCACTATGGCTGGTAAGAGCAGATCAAACAGCTCAAAGAAAAGTCCCAGGATTATTCAAATCGACTTCCTTATCTTGTTGGCTACATCCTAATGTCTGCATATTTTAAATAATCAGACAGTTAGGATTAGGTAGTCACAGGTCAGAATTTCTTGCAGTCACTTTCCACCTTTTTTGCAAGCTTTTTTTGGAAATAGGGCTGTTTCAGTAGCTGCCTTTACAAATATTCCTAAATAGATATAGTTAATTACATTGTTTTCTGTAATGTATTTTTCAGTGGAAAAATGTACATAATGAACAGAATACATCAGAATAATCWGACAGCTGTTTTTCTGATCTAACAACTCATTTCTGCCCAGCAGGTASGTTAAACAAGAATAATGTGATTGTTCCTCTGAATGCTTGACTCACTCTGTCACTATTCATGAATCAGCTTCTACACTCAACTATTCTGTTATTATATTAGTTTTTTTTTGTTATTATATTTGTTATTTTCTGATTGCTTTTAGATGTGCTTTGCACCGGTGATGCAGAGTTTTGTGGCACTGATTTAAAAAATCAGCCTCATTTATTGTGTTTCATTGTGTCGAGGCAACTTTTCCAACACACTGCAASATTAAATACATTTATTTTTTCTGCAACCAGGTTTGTTACTCGAATACATAATCAGATTTATACCTGAGGTATTTCAGGATCATTAGCAGAGTTGCACATAAGCAATGCGCAGGTGCGCATGCGCCATCTAAAAGAAAAAGTGCACCAGYTGGAATGTCATAAAGCTCCTTTGCGTACCTAAGATTGTACCTGAGATTGTGAAAACAACAGCTACACTGCATAAAATGTCCATCTTACCAAGTTTTAAAATCTTATATTCAGCCAAAAAAGACTTTTTGATTTTGTTTTGAGACTGATTTATT